ATTTGTAGCAGTTCTGTACATAGAACTTGTAGGTGCATTCACTATTTGTTTAACATCCCCCATACAACAACCAACCTCCCCATTACTGCTGCCAACCGGGACAGCAATAATCCCACTCAAGTATACTTTGAGTACATTAGGGAGCATCAAGATTAGGATTTGGGGATTTGCCTTGTCTGTAGTACTGGCTATTTTTTGTATTCTGTGTCTTGTTTTTTCAAGAAAATTGCTTAATTTCTGCTTTCCTATGCCTGCTGAGTGCAACAACTGCACAAGAAACAACAATGCAACTCCTAACCTGGACCTGTGTTGTTATCCTGTGGCTCCTAGGCACAACAATTCTCCAATGACTGGCCCACAAAGAGTGCCAACCCCTTACCCTTCCCACCTCCAGACACTAGAGGAATGTTTCACAGCTGAAATAATAGAGATGCCCACCCCCATCCGACCCATCCTAAGCTTCCCTTCCCAACATGAATCTGGCAACTCTTCTGTAGAATTCCTTGATGAAGGAGGTTTCTGGTACCCATTTGCACCCTTGCCAAATGCCACTCGTCAACCATTCCTGATCCCAGGTTCTTCAGAAACTTCCAATAGTGATGCTATAGTCCTGCATCAATTCCCTGGTCCCCTGGAGATTCCCCACAACAGCTCGGAAGCTTCCACTGGATCTTACCACATTGCCCCTGTACAGGTTTTCCAGTCCTTGTCACCTATAAATGTCTCATCCTCCCCAAATCCTGACAGTCCTATTGCCATATCCCCTGACTCCCCCAATATGCCTCCTCTTGCCTCTGATGATTCTGACAACAGTAACCTCATCAATGCTCCAAATCTTTAACTCCTAGCCAACGTCAGCAAGTATATTACAGCATCAGAAGGATACAGCAGCAACCTGCAGGAATTTGTGGTCTACAGCGATGACATGATCCAGTGACCCTCCAACAGTGTTACCAGGTCTTGGCAATCCATCCCTTTCAACACTTCTACCCCTGTACAAGATGTTGATCCCTTGGAATGAATCCTACCTCACTTTCCTAGAGCCTACACTAACTTTGTCACTCGACCTCCCATGGGTGTCCCTATTAATGGTAATCCTGCATTTGGACTACGATGGGTATCAACTACTACAGCAGTAGCACTGTGTACTGCCAAACCTGTAGGGAACTAGAACACTTCAGACAAGGACTGGGAGGAGGACACTTGGGAGTATTTGTTGACACGAGATGACAATTTGTTGGAGAGTCTTTAGGCATCGCTTCAAGATATTTGGGACCCAGGAGTGGCTGATGAAGTAGATTGATTTAGAGCCATTGATGTAAAGATCAATCTACTTCTAGCAGTGCAATGATCCATAGGGGCCAAGCTTATTTGCACTGAGGAGGAGATGAGTCAATGTCAAACGCATCTCAAGGCTGCCAATTTGGAAGAACGTCTTGAACATCATGAGTTTTCCATTATCACCCCCCCTTCTGGTGCCATACCTCGCCGCCTTCGCTTCTGTACCAAATGTGAGGTCAATGGTCACCTTCAAAGTGAGTGTTGGCATTGGTTGTGCTCCTATTGCAGACTCCTGCATCCTCGACATAACACCGCCACTGATGTTCAGCCCAGACAACTCCCCTGTCCCACCGACGAACCTGGATATCTACAGGAGTGTTGTGCACAATGGAAACTCTGAATGACAAATCTGGAGAGGGAGGTAATGTTACAGTGTCAGAGGGGGGGTTCTTTTTCTTTCCCTAACTATTCATTGTTGACCCTGTACTATACAATTGATCCCATTGCCTGATGTGTTTCACCTACATCAGTGTTTCATATCCATCACGTTTCATTTATATTATGTTTCTCCTACATCATGTTGCACCTCTATCATGTTTCATCTTCATCACTGATACAACCCAGTGAAACTGTTTCCATGTACATCGCTGATCCTGCAGTGTTTCATACTTATCAAACTCTATTTGCTCTACTCTATACAAGTAGCACTGGTTGCACTACTGTACTTTAGTTTTGTCCTCTTGTTCCC